GGAGCATGATACTCACACACTTGTTCTTGTAATGTGAACAGCGCACAATGATTGGTTAGCTATCTCGTGCTCATATAAAAACACTTTAGTTTAACGGTAAATAACGCTTACGTAATGCCGTGGGTATGGTGCAAACAGGAATGAAAAACGAAGTTGAAACACATTTTAATGTCCATCAAAACAATATCATCTCTTTGGAGACGTTTTCTACAGCAGGGCAACACTCATGACTTGTTACGTGCCGGTCGTCCACATTTGACTTCACGTGACGAGACAACCATATTTGGTTGGTGCATCTACTGAATCGATGGGAAACTGCCACATTAACAGCTCGGACAATTCCTGGGTTGAGACCAACTAGTGGCAGGACCGCATGCAACCGATTGAGGGAGGACAACATCGGGCCCCGACGTCCAGCAATACGCCCTGTTGTGCTTCCACGTCACCGTCAGGCACGCCTAATCTCCAGGTGACATTTGGAATAACAGCGACAAATCCCTTTACATATCCATAAGAAATGTCAGCCATAAGCAGAGCCGATTGTACGATTCCGACTATATCATGAGCAAGTGTTTATGAATAACTATCAAGTGGAGATAATGTCAGGTGTTCGCGAAAAGGTGAGCGTATCCTGTCCGATCAGAGGCACGCATCACAAACACATGCAAAGGCAAGTCATTTGTTCGCCTGAAGAAACACGGGAACATATGGTACAAGTCAAAATAGGGACTTGCATCGGACATCATTTTTGTCACTGATGTGTCAAATTTGGAATTATTCTCCACATGTTTACCATAACAGTGTTTGAAAGCTTCACTGAGGCCTTGAATGTTGTCACCTTGATCAAACAACTTCTTCTGAGTTGTATGAGGCTCTTTGAATTCATGGTAGAAAGAGCATGCTCGATAACATGTGGCTAAATCAGGTGGTTACACAACGGAAAGTCCCAATATATCCAAACTATAAAATTGTGTGTGTTTTGTATACCCAAGGTTTGTATATATGGATAGATTTGACTGCTTCATTCAGTTTCCTTCAGTTGCTTGGTTGGTCAGCAATATTCCAGCTATATGACGGCGGTCTGTAAGGAATCGAGTATGGACCAGACAATCCAGTGATTGATATCATGAGCAATTGGGATACGATCACATGCATCAACCAAGTCAGCGAGCCTGACCAGCCAATATTTTTGAATTTTAACCCCGTCAGTGCTCTTGCTGCTAATGTTTGCGTTACAAGCCCCAGTGGTGCGAACACAATCCTCGCACAACGTTCACATGTGTTTATGAAAGCCTAATGATATGCCACTTTGGTAGAATATCTATTTTTTTAATTCGAAATTTTCCTTAAAAATGAAATAACGAGAATAAAATCGAAAAACATTGAAAAACATCGAAGCAACGAGAAAATAATCGAAGTAACGACTTGGTTAATGTATGTCATCGTACCCCAATTGCGTAGATCGATGCTCATAATCACTGGATTGTCTGTCCCAGACTTCATTCTTTACAGACCGCCGTCATAAAGCTGGAATATTGCTGAGTGCGACCTTAAACAACAAACAAACCACCGAGTGGGGCCGAGGATATAGGAACGGAGTTCGTTCTTCTGCCCGCCGCCCAGAGAAATGAAACGTTTTACACTGATGTAACTGGTCATGATCTCAAATGAGAACGAAAATTGGATTCCTAAATAATATGTTACAGACTTTCAGCCCCTGCGTTTCAACTTAGTGCATACTGCATGCATACTGCATGCCTACTGCGTGTATACTGCGTGCATACTGCGTAAAATGGGACACCGTTTCTGAGAAACTACTGAAGTTACATAAATGAAAGTTTGCATGTCTATCTAGGAGATACTTGTGAAGACTAAGTTCGAAAATTGGTGCAACTGATGATTTTTCCCAGAGGAGGGGCCTTTTGTGGGCATCAATTTCACATTTAATTATTGTTTCTGATGACATAAAGCGACCCTAGTGCCTATCTCGTCTTCAGTGAGTGAGTGAGTGAGTATGGGTTTACGCTGCTTTAAGCATATTCCAGCAATATCACGGCGGGGACACCAGAAATGGGCTTCACACATTGTACCCATGTCAGGAATCAACCCGGGTCTTCGTCCTGACGAGCGAACACATTTACCTCTTGGCTACCCGACCACACCCTCTTCTTCAGGATTTATAGGACTGTTATATTTTCATAGCTAATATTAACTTCCTTATAGGTCACTACTGTACGAAGAAACAAATATTTTATGTGCCCATGGTGGGGCATATTGATAACGCTGTTTTCTTATATATTTGTATCCTAAATAAAAAAAAATGTACTTGTGAAAAGAAATCTTCCCTGGGTGAAAGATGAATGCTTTATTGTGTCTATTTAGACACATTTGGGCTTTATTCTTCACAAGTTTAAACCATATAAGTTCCCTCCAAAAGAAAACGGGAAAATTATATATTGATCAAAGAGAATAAGGGAACAATGAAAAATGTAGGGAAATTTGCTTTGCTGTTGGTACATTGGGAATAGCGCGCATACAAATTCAACACGTCAGAATCAAACGTTGACATGTATTTTTATGCATTGTTTCCAACACTTAGACAAGGCAGAGAAACCCATGACAGCATATCACGTTGCTGTGTCTAAAACAAAGTGTTCCCTTCTCCATGTTCATCAGCATAATTGTTGAAAACCATTTATATAAACGACTTTGCTTGTTTTGTTTTCGTAATACAGTTTCATATTCTGCTTTCCCTTTAATAACCAATAATTCCATCAGTTTTATAGATCTACGATCATTATCTATTTCAAACGTTACTTGATATATACGTGTATCTTTAAATGTACATATATATATAAATGTGTAAATACAGTAACCGTACTGATATTTTCTTCTTTCACCTGCGAATGTGATAGTTTCCTTGTATGAAATATAGCCTACTCTATTAAATTAGGTTTAAACCATTAACAACGTATAATGACACCCGAAATATAAATACGTGGTCTGTGTGATTCCACAACGAATCGAAAATAGGTTTGTTGAATATATTTGCTGCCAATGAAAACGTTTCAGCGATTTTGATTAAATCTACGTAAACTTACTCTTGGGTGATAGTACGTACGTTAGTATAAGTGTTAGTTATCAAGAAATGTTAATGATGTCCGACATTGAGCGATGTCAATTTTAGGATTGTTTGGGCTATTTAACCATCTTTCATAAAATGTTCGATGTCAATCACCCCGAAGTTGTTTTTATCATGAAACAGCATGACACTGACATCTATATTGACGAAACCATCTTTCATCTTTCGTAACATGATCTTTGAAACAGTCTGCACATGAACTAATGACGACCACTTTCATCAATTTTGTTTTGACGTAAAAAAAACACTGACAATTTCAGCCGGATTTTTTTATCCCTAAATTAAACTCATGGTCAATCATCAATGAATGCATACTTAGACATGAATGTCATATGTCTATCACCGTTAGGATACGTTCTTTACAATGATGTGAATTAGGTGAGATCTAGATTTCAAACAAAGGCACTTTCTCGAAGTTACTTCCCACATACGAGTGCTTCAATATTACAGTAAATGTAACAAATGCAGCAAACTTAGAATACCACCACTTCCATCGATGGCTAGGCAGTGCATATACCTTTGGGATTTGCTGAATATAGATACTGGCTATCGACTAGTTATCGCAGAGGACCAATGAAAGCAAACACCCCGTTATACCGTGCAGGTTATCGCATAACCAAGACAATATCGCCTATCTAGATCGAATTTGGGGAATGTCGTGTTTTGTCAGTTTGCAGACGGCAAATTACTATTAGCATTTCGTATTCATTTCGATGAATAAAAAAATTGAGTTCAATGCCCGAGATACTAAAAAATGTAATTTGTATAACTGAAGCGGTGCTCGTGCTGTTAAGACGATCACGATAACTGTTGAAATTAATCGACGGGAAAGTGCTGTTGCCAGTGTATTGGTTCCCTATCGTAGCGTTAGAACAGAAATCAAGTGAATCTTATTCCAATGACAGAAATAAGCGCATATGCTCATAGTTTCACAAAAAATAAATTTATTAGTACAGTAAAATTTGTACTAGGAATAATTCAGACATACCATGGAAAAAATTGCGATAACTGATCGGTGAAGACAGACAACGTTAGTTGAATGTAATGTAATTTGGTTACACTGTATGAAGAAATAAATAAGAACGATGTAACACTTTTTATAAACTGTTACGTTTTTGAAACCGCGACTGACGGCAAGGCACGGTGAGGGATAAACACATGCTCATGCTATCGACTCTGCTTTTAAGTTTTTAATTCAGCTTGTACGTATTAAAAGAACTTCTTGAGAAAAAAGATGCCTTTGTTAAACTATATCTACCACACAGTGCATCATACAGATCAAGTCGGAATTGTAAAATCAACTGTTTTTGGCTGCGATTTCTTTTGAATATGAAAAAGGTTTTGCTGCTTTTATCTTTTAAATTCAAGCAGCAATAATTTGCACACGTTAAAAAAACTCCATAGAAAAAGATGTATATATAACTGCCTTTGTTAAACTATATCTACCCCATAGTGCATGTGTTGTATGAATATGTAATGAAGCCTGCATTGTGCCGCCCTGTTTTGGCAGAGAAAACAGCCGGTCACTTTGGTGCAAGGCCTTGGCCGCAATGCCGTGACGTCATGGACAGTGTGATGTCACTGTCATTGTACATTTGGCGCCACGTCAGCTTGGCGAACCTCGGCTCAGTCTGAGGTCACAGAGTGCAGCGAGATGTAAACAAACAGTTTGTTGTCTCTTTCACGATTAATTATGAACTCCTGACACACAAGTAACACAGATTAATTAGATTACGAGATGCAGTGTGTACATCATAATCACACACCATCTTTATTTACCATATTTACACTCAGTTAACAATTTTCTTACCTGATCATGCCATGTTCCAAACACAACAAATGACAAAATGTCTCAAAATATTTTTAACAAGTTTTATTTCTCCTCAAACACAACAAACATTCTCACCAAATCCGGGAATATAAAACACGACGACGTGCACGGTACACCACGTCAATGTCTGTAACATCATGTCCCCCTCCACCGTCTACACAAACACAACACTGACGTCACTGAACGCCACGGGACACCAGGAGATCCGCCAGTCGTTGACGTCCCCCGAGTCTCGCCAGGTCAGCCACTGTCTCCCCCAGCTTGTTCCTGGCGTCGATGTCCACCACGTTCAGTGACAGCACCAACTCCACCGTCTCCATGTTTCCTCCCCGAAAGGCGAGGTGAAGGATGTTGTTACCGTACTTGTCCACCAGTGACACATTAGCTCCTTCCTTCACCAGGAGCTCCACCACCTCTGTGTGTCCCCCCCGTGCTGCCCACATCACCGATGTCCTGCTCCCCCATCCCACTCTACAGTTGATGACGACTCCCGGTGTAGTCAGGAGCCGCTTCACCTTCATCAGGTCCCCGACCCAGCTGGCGTAGAAGAGGTCTATGTCTGCTCGTGATGGAGTCGCTGTAACACAAAGTAAACTCTGTACTCATCTCGACATCTTTGTCATACATCTAATGTGTTAACACCTCGAAGTGTTGATACGTGACAGGGGGAGTCGGGTAGCCTAGTGGTTAAAGCGTTCGCTCGTCACGCCGAAGATCCAGGTTCGATTCTTGACATGGGTACAATGTGTGAAGCCCATTTCTGGTGTCCCCCGCCGTGATATTGCTGGAATATTGCTGGAATATTGCTTAAAGCGGCGTAAAACCATACTCACTCACTCACTGATACGTGACTCACTTCCTGTATGGATGACAAAAATATAACGATGAGGGGAGTGGTTTATATAAAGAACTAACAATAATCTATTCCAGTGACATTTATGCTTTCTTCTACATCCAGTAGTTGTAACAATATTCTGTGTACGGCTGGGGAGTGTTAACGTTTGTTTGCTTCATAAGATAATAGATAGACACTGTTAGTACAATTGCTGTTTTAAGATAATATGATATTTATCTTCACATTGCTTTACATAAGCTTGTTCATTGAATACACTGTATGTATGAAGGTTAGGAGTGAGCTTTCTGCCTGCTGGGTTCTCCAACCTACCGTGTGAAGCAGTGGAGAGCCATATATTCCACCTGCGCCGGTTTGGGTCACTCGAGGCTGAAACACAGAATATGCTGTTTAAAAAACTATATATAGCACATAAGCATTATAAATATTGGCCACAGACAAGTTATTGCCATTCCACAAGTTTGAAGCCTGTTGAAACAGAATATGGTGGTCAGAAAACTATATACAGCATAGGAAAAGCATTATAAATACTGGCCTCAGATAACTTATTGCCATTCCATAAATATTTTGCCCCTTAAAATGTTCACTCATGAATATGTTTGTATTAAAGGTATTTATGTCAGGTAGGCCTAGTTCAGTGATTGGTAAATTGCGACAAATGATTTGTTTGTTTATTGTTTAACGCCACACTCAGCAATATTTCAGGTGTGTTACAGGTCAGTAAATAAACGAGGATGTACCAGACAATCCAGTGATTGACATCATGCACATCGTTCCATGCAATCGGGATACGAAGACATCAACCAAGTAGACGAGCCTGATCACCCGATCCCGTTAGTCGCCTCTCACAAGCATAGTCGCCTTTTACGGCAAGCATGGGTTGCCGAAGGCCTTTTTTACACCAGGGCTATAAATGACATAACATAAATGACATAATATACAGTAACACACGGATTAACAAATATGGACCTGCTCAGAAGCCGATATTCGGCAGCAAATGTCAGTAAACATTCACAAATCGGAATAAAAACAGTCCCAATCTATATTAATATATATATCACTAATTCGTCTAACCGTATGGCTTTGTGGGGGTAAGCTGTATTTCACTGATACCAGGACAGCACACAGGAAGAGTTTAATGTTTTGTTTTATATAATTACACTGATCCTACAATTGTTAAACACAACGTTACAAAAAAAAAAGAATTTAAGAACTAAGAACTTAATAATCCCACATTTGAAAAAAACCCGCTTTGGTCCCAATTTGTCTCAGTTTAGAATCCTGGATAAATCCCTCGTAAAACATACACCGATATTGTTGCTTATCTACCCCGTGTGTCTTTATACATCATGACATGAAGCACGTCATGAATCCTGTTTCTTATGTTTGATGAAGGTTCTTCAGAAGATAATGTTCATTCAGAGACTCTAACTTAATACTGCATTATTTATACTGAAATTGTTCCAATTAGATCTATTCTCGTCTTAAGGCGACACCTCTGGCATGTCTATGAAAACACTGCCATAATTTTAATCGAGAGGTTTCTATTTTCTAACTAAAAAGATAGTCGTCCTGTTGACAAGTGAGCATTAGGCCTATGTAATAAAAATAATTATTTTACGTTTGAAGCGGCGTTTACTCAGGGCATAAGTTTACATCGTTTGGTGAGTGAGTGAGTGAGTGAGTGAGTGAGTGAGTGGGTGAGTGAGTGCAATCTGAGGCCGTATCACTAACATGTAAGCCACATAACGACGAGGACAAAGTAAATATTGACGTTATGGTGAGTGAGTGAGTGAGAGAGTTCAATCTGAGGCCGTATCAGTAATATATAAGCCACAAAAGACGGGGTTAAAATGTATATATTGACGTTATGGTGAGTGAGTGAGTGATAGAGTTCAATCTGAGACCGAAACAGTAATTTATAAGCCACAAAAGACGGGGACTAAGTATACATTGACGTTATGGTGAGTGAGTGAGTGATAGAGTTCAATCTGAGACCGTATCAGTGATATATAAGCGACAAAAGAAGAGGACTAAGTATACATTGACGTTATGGTGAGTGAGTGAGTGATAGAGTTCAATCTGAGACCGTATCAGTGATATATAAGCGACAAAAGAAGAGGACTAAGTATACATTGACGTTATGGTGATTGAGTGAGTGAGTGAGAGAGTTCAATCTGAGGCAGAATCAATAATATATAAGCCACATAACAACGAGGACTAAGTATACATTAACGTTATGGTGAGTGAGTGGGTAAGAAAATTCAATCTGAGGATACAAATAAATGGTTATGACGATTTGTTATAGAGGCGAAGTGTTACATCAACGTTGTACTTCATTGTGGTGGTTATGTTTTGATATAGTCTGATATGTTGACCTGAAACAATGTTCTTTTTGTGTTACATTGTTTTTGGTGTACATGGCGGGAGAGGCGTGGTCAGTACTGGCAAATCACAAATCACCTTCCAGGTAACGAGGCGGAATTTCATAAATGTGCTGCTATACAGATATATTTGCACACTTTTTGAATGAAAAACCGCCTGGGGGTGGTACAAGAGACTTCATGGTAGTACAGTTGTCAGTTGATACCGTATGTGTGGTTTATCAACCTACATGGCTTCACCTATAACAAGTATTAATTAAGTAACCCGTCAAGATCGGGGCTAGAATTGTCCTCAGGAACCAATGCATGCCGTAAGATGCGACTAACGGCATCGAGTGGTCAGGCCCGCTGACTTGGTTGATGCAAATCATCGACTCACTATTGCGTAGAACAATGCTGAAGCGTTAAAAAGATTAAAACTCGGGAAATCTCCTGGTGAAGATGGAATCCCTCCAGAATTTTTTAAACTTTCAGAAACAATTCTTATTAAATACTTGAGACCTTTATTTAATAAAATATTAGATACCGGTATATTCCCTGAAGCATGGAACATTGGACTTATAATACCTATACATAAATCTGGTGTTACCTCTGACCCCAACAATTATGGAGGAATATCCCTGCTAAATGCAACTGGGAAATTATTCACGTCAATACTTGAAAAAAGACTACGATCATGGATGGATATAAACGATTTAATACATGAAGCACAAGCTGGATTCAGATCCAACTATTCAGTAACAGACAACATTTTCACACTCCAGGCTCTTTGTACTAAATATTTATCAAAGCGAGGGGGGCGATTTTATTGTGCTTTCATTGATTTCAAGAAAGCCTTTGACTTTGTGGAAAGGAAAAAAATATTATATATGCTCTTTCAAAAAGGTTGCCATGGCAAGTTGTATAATGCCTTAGCTAGTATGTATTCTGCTGTTAAGGCTTGTGTAAAAACAGACAAAGGCAGAACAGATTTGTTTACAACTAGCTCCGGTGTAAGACAAGGCTGTATCTTAAGCCCGCTTCTGTTTATCTTCTTTATTAATGAGCTTGTAACTGACATTTATAAAACGTGCTGTCATGGTGTGTTTGTTTCAGAAAGTATTGAAGATATTATGCTACTACTTTTTGCCGACGATATGACTATGTTCTCATATACAGTTATTGGTCTACAAAAACAATTAGATATCTTAAGAAAATTTTGCATTACCTGGGGCCTAAGTGTGAATCTTGATAAAACAAAAACAATTGTTTTCCGAAACGGTGGCATTATACGAAAAAATGAAAAATGGTTCTATGGTTCTATAAATGTAAAACTTGTCACTTACTACAAGTTTCTTGGAGTATTTTTCTCCTCAAGGCTAATCTGGTCAATGGCCTGTAAAAGCCTAGAATCACAGGCTTCTAAAGCCACTAGAGCCATTTATCATGTTTTCAAAAGAAATAGCTATATAACATTCGAAACAGCTTGTACAATGTTTGATTGTAAGATTGCTCCTATATTACTTTATGGGGCTGAAATCTGGGGGCAAAATATTATGAATGTATAGAAAAAGTACATACGTCCTATTTTAAAAATTATCTTTGTATCGGAAAATATGCCTCTAATAAAGCTATTCTTGTTGAAACTGGACGATTAAATATGTTCGTGTTTAGCAAAATAAGGGTACTTAAATACTGGTTGAGATTGCTACGTATGAATCAATGTCGATATCCAAAACAATGTTACAATCTACTTAAACAGTTAGATGATAATGATAAACACACCTTGGTGTCTGATGTAAGATATATTTTGTTTTCTTCAGGCTTTTCATTTGTATGGATCTCTCAACATATTGGCGATGAAAATCTCTTTTTGCTAAAAATAAAACAAAGGCTGAGTGATATGTATTCTCAAGAGTGGCATGACTCTATTTCTTCATCAAAATATCTGTCACATTATGCAAATTTGAAATCACTTTTACAGCCAGAATTTTACATGAGTAATCTCACGAATAAATCACTCAGGAGAGCATATTGTAAATTCAGAATATCGCTACACGGTTTTAAGATTAACATGCTACGAAAGTCAAAACATACAAATGAAGACTTGAGTTTATATCTATGTACCCACTGTACAGGGAGGCAATTAGAGGATGAATTTCATGTTTTGTTTATATGTTCAAAATATTCTTCTGTCAGAAACCACTATTTGCCTTGGTTATCCAATGTCCATCATGATAATCACAGTTTATGTAATCTACTCAACTCCAAAAATATCAACATTGTAAAGGCTTTGGCCTTATACTTAAATCATGTATTTAATGTGAAATAAGACTACTTGTATTTATTTTTCTGACAGCACGTGACGCAGCAATTATTGTAATTGTAATTGTACTCTAGGCCACATGGCCCAAAATACTGAATAAAGAATCTTGAATCTTGAATCTTGAATCTTGAAGAACAATGCTCATGATGTCAATTACTGGATTGTCTGGTCCAGACGGGAATATTTTCAGACCGCCTTCAGATAGCTGAGTGCGGCTTTAAACAACAAACAAACAAATAAAGTTAAAAAAACTGTTTATTAAGTGAAAAATGCATTAAAATGAAGAAAGAGTAAGAGGCGCCGATTTATTTCCACTTCGTAAGAAAAATGTGTAACTAAATACATACTCAAGAGAGACATTTTGTCAGCTATTATATAAACCACGCGCACCTCTCTAGGTTTTAATGAATATTGGCAGGATATTCAAACTAGCGTGACCATTTGCCCCTAGTTGTATACCCTCAAAACAAAGGAGGGGATCACACATGAAATATAAATGTTATAATCGGTCCTCAGAAATAAGATCAGCTTTGTAATATGACTGTCAGAAAAAGAATGGGTCCATTACCTAACGCCCCAACACAGCGTATACACTGCACCTGGACAATGCAATTCCTTCATGAACGTGGGTTCTTGATTTTGACACTTTAGTGAAAGGTCGTCAAAACGCCCTGGGCCATTACAATTCTTGTTTTGCATTGTCCAATGTAACACATAAACTCTCCACTCTTGCTTTAATACAGTATTTGTGATCTACAAACTAGAAAACATCAAACATACTCCACTGACTAACACATACATGAATGACAAACCCCCACCAGACACAACCACAACACTACACACAACATTCCTAAACCGTCTCGAGCTCGCCGACACAGAAAAATCACCAATGTCAACAAAATACGTACAACAAAACTGGCAACAACACACCCATATCTACACAAATGCTTTACAAACAAACAACAATATAACAGGGCTAGGCATCCAGGTAACTCAACCAGAACCAATCACCACAAACCACAGCTGAATTTCTTGCCATACAATGTGCCTATAATCAAATCAAACTATCTAAATATAGAAAAAAAATATTCATTTCGGACTCATTAGGCTGGATAACACGAATTCAAAACACTTAAAATCTCGTCCAGACATTATTAGGAACATCATAGATATATATTCCAATCTTACATCAAACAACAAAGCAGTAACAATACTATGGGTATTTGCCCACACCGGCATACAGGGAAATGAACAAGCAGACATAGCAGCAACAGTAGCAACCACACACCCCTCACCCACAATTAACTTTAGTACCAGTAGAGCCTAGGATAAATCATTTATTAGAAAAAACATAAAAAGTCAAAATTTCCAAATTAGTATTTAAAACTGTAAATCCACATGGATAAAGTCCCTCTTCAATAAAACAGTCGTAGTCTATACTTTCAGATAAAATAATAAACAGAATACATAGCGGCCTATTCAACCAAAATGAAAAACTACATAATCAAAACAGACGACCACATCCAAACTGCACACATTGCTATAAACCAGAAAACCTAAACCATATATTCAACCTCTGCCCCCACTACAAACAACAACTAATATAACTATACAAACATTTAAAACAGACTTTAGACCAGTCCCAACAAATTGCCAGCTACAAGCACTAAAGTACTGTCGGAAATGCTAGACAACTGCTTTTTGCCTGTTAAAAAAGGATATATATTTTCACAGACTGTTGTTATTGAAATATCGAGTAACTTCCGATGGCCCTACCTGTGGTTTGAAGTATTTCAGTCACAAGGAGTCCTATCGACAAGTTTGAGGGGAGACAAATTCGAACGAAAACAGGAAGTTCACATTTATTAAGTCAAATGATGGCAGTCTGAAACGGACTATAAAAATATGCGCACGTGGCTCCGTGATAATAATGTAGCCTTCATAAAACATCTAATCCACACACACAAATCATTTTGAGAAAATTCTAGATGTGCATCTTCTAAAATGATAAAATGACGCTGAGTTTGTTTTGTCAACACAGCTTCCCATGCTGCATTATACATTACACTTGCATAGCCATAACCATGACACACGACATGAAGTCTGTACTGGGAAATGCATACAAGTTCTTTACACTTTAGAGAGATAAAGGGAAATCATTTATTAATTTAGATAGGGTGAATTGCCGAACTTCCAAAGCTATGGTGTTTTCAATTCATACCATCAAGTCTACGGTATGATAAGAAAATAAAACAGGTATAGGGGTGGTCTCAAAACAAAACTGGGACGTAAAAGGATATTAGACAGATTTGATACCGGGTGATTAGGCGTATAGTGTACAAGCGTTATGAGCCTAAGGTAACTCTGACTTGTAGTAGAATTTGGGCGGTATTAAAGATACAATTAATGTTTCCCGGACTGCACTTACTTTTGCTCTCCAAGAGATGGGATTTCGATACACTGCGTGTGGCGATGACCATCATCTCCCAACCATTCATAACTATCACAGTCAGGGCGTCCAGATACTTTACCTTGATAAATCATTCAAATGACTACATGTGGTTATAGGCAGATGGACATAAAGGACCCATGGTACCATCAGGTAAAGGTAATCGTGTCATTGTTTTGCACGCTGCAACCCATGATATGGGGCTTATTGATGGATGTGTGCCAGTTTTCGAGGCGAAAAAGAAAACTTGTGATTTTCATAAGGAAATTATAGGAGGTGATGTGTTCATAGACTAGTTGGAACTTCAGCTATTTTAATTTTAAACAACGCCAGTGTCATTTTCATAGATAACGCCAGTTAATATAACGTCCGGGAATCAGATACTGTCGCCCAAACCATGAGTAGTCTGAAGGCGACCATACAGGAATGTATGACATTGTCGACTTCAGACCATATGAAACGAAAGTTCAACTCATGGAGAAAATTCGGCTGAATAAGAAACCAGTAAAGTACAAGACATATGTGCTGGCGGCACATCGCGGTTCCGTTGTCTTACGTACGCCAGTCAGACATTGTGAGCTCAACCCTGTTGTGCCCATCTTGGCTAAGTGTAAAGGGTTCGTGGCAAGACATAACACAACATTCAAAAGTACAGATTCATATACGTCATCAGCGGAGATAAATGCTACCTCAAGAAACCATCTGTAGAACAACAATTACTTCTGGATTTCAAATCTGCAACCTTCCAATACTCATCCCGTTTCATAGCTTTTAACTGGTCCGTCATGTTTCAAAGTAAATATAATGCAGTACATATCCTAAATTGCTACCCAATCAACGAATGTCAATTAAGTACAATAACAGTAATATTTTGAAAACACCCCCAACTCGATGACATTTGTACCTGGGAGAATGCACGGGACTGTGTGAGGTCATCACCTCGGGACAGGTGTTAGGTAACTACCTCAGGTTATAGGCCATTTCATACATGCATGACAACACACAAAGTTTATCATCATTTTACCTGTAAAATTACATTTCAAGAGTAATCACAATGTCAGTGAGGACAGGCTAGATTAGGTCAATTCGCGTTATTTTGATATATGCTTTTTTTTATAGTCCTACGACTCGTATTTATAAAATGAGCATATATCAAAATAACTATAAACCTACACTATCTAGATTCAGATCGGGATCGACAAACTAAGCGCTGACTGTCTACTACGACGTCCGCACGCAAAATACCTTCATATCCAGACTACTAAACACACGCACTCCTTAATCCAGCCTCTCCTCCAAGTTCAAGGCCTCAGCCGCCAGCTCCCAGTCACCGACACCACGCCCCCCCCCCCCCCCCCCCCCCCCCCAATGTATAGGCCCAAGGTTTTTAAGACTAGGTTGCCTAGTTTATACACTTTCCTATTCATAGATAAACCTAATATTTATTAGATAAGTAGATCAGCATAACTAATATTAAATTATTAAATTGTAGTACTATATATTTATTAACTATATATTCTTATGTTACAGAATAGGCCTCTCTATAGCTCTCAACTGCCTCTAAGCCCCCTCATCCCACTCAACCCCGTTTACTATTTTCCTTTCTAACTTTACTCACCCTCATTTACAGTTTTTAGGGCCTGACATTTATCAATTTATTCCCAGTTATTATTATTTATCTAAACCCGTCTGGCCCCGACTGCGACATAGCCTACGGCTGAAGAGGTCATAAAATCCCAAGAATCTCCCATATGGATCCTTAATACTAATTGTGATCGTCACGTAATGAGACATTATTTCACAAGTGATGCACATTTAGTTTCCATGCTTCAAAAGGCAAACGATGAGTAATTTACCTTGCCATACTGAATATTACCTTTCTTTATCCCGATGGGTTGATATTTGACCGTGCCCTTGACGTACGTTTGCTGGGGACGTGGGTGAGACGTCTTATCTTCTTCTGTCTTCTGGGGATGTGGGAGACAGGTATCCTCAACTTCCTTCTGTGGGGATTGGGAGAGAAGAGAGCTATTGTCGCCCTTTTCCTGGATATGTGGGTTGTATGTTTCGTCATCGTCCTTCTGTTGGGGATGTGAGCGAGGTGCGCCCTCCTCATCCTTATGTTCAGGATCCGCCATCCCTCTAGGCCGTGTTTCTGTGAACAAATGATGACAAGAGAAAACAAATGATGAAGATGAGAGCTGTACCACATGTCGGTGACAACACAATAAAAACACAGGATATGGAATTCCACCAGGGTCTCAGCCCACATTGGAATGTCTGGAAACGAAGAAGCTAACAATACAGCCAATTTGCTTTCAACCTAAACACAGTATTAACCTCCAACCTCGGCCTATAAAACTATAAACATATCAGTGTGCATCACTGCTTATGTCATGCGGGTCATCCTATCCCCAGACCAGAATATCTTGATATAAAGATAATGCGTTAAACTGTTGGCAGTCTTGAAGTTATACGAGATGTTAGGAACAGATTATGTTGTATATGTTACTGAAACGTGGCTACAGGTTAGGAATCAAAACCTTTCCATTTCTTTCGTTCATTCGGTTCATTTATTCATTCATTTTATAGGTCATTTCATCATTCGATATCCATGATCCTCGAACGCATTTCGCCTCCTCTCCTGTGAACGTCATCATCATCTACAAACTCAACTATAAAATAAACTATAACCTCTCTCCTCACCAATACCGCCGCTTTTACAGACGCTCGCCTGCACGCACCCAGTCATCTCGGCCTTTTCTACATCAAGCCTATTTGTTTTCTGTATTTGTATTGGTTCAACTTCTTTACCATTGGTAATTATGTCCTTCCTCCTCCTATGCACATCATTATGTTCTACCCCAAACAAGGTCTTCCTTCTACATTACAACACCGTCCCAACTCATTAACTCTCACAAAGCACAATCACCTAGAAACGCCAAAAACACACAATCTAAAACCAACAGAAATAACTAAAGATCATATACATCAACAACAGACTTACAACAAACCACAAAACATTTAAATCCACCTCACTACCCACCAACATAACCTTCGGCGCTCTAAATTATAAAGTCCACCCCCTCAGAAAAAGAGAATCAAATGCCTCCACTGCAACCTTTTGATCATAACTGTACAGCTTGTAAACATTACCCACTGTGTCCCAAATGTTGCTTTGAAAATCACCTCATCCAGGAATGCACGAGGGCCCCCTTCTGTGTAAATTGCAACGCCGAAGGCCACACAGCTATCCACAACACCTGCCCCATTCAACAACAGCACATCCTTTAAACTTAATAAACATATCAAACACTCACACCTACCAAAACCATAAGACAGAACTACAAATCTTGTTCTATTCTAACAGTACTATTCTATCTGACGAAGAATTTCAACCATTATCTGACCAATCCTAAGAATCCAAAGTCAGCTTCTTCCAAACCCCTTTCCACAAAACGTCAAAGACAAAACCCCAAACCTAAACAAGTACCCAAAACCTCCCAAATCACCAATACAACACATGAACTTTCTACTAAATGTATCCCTACTTCAACAATTAACCACACACACACCACCCAGTCTTATGGTGGAGCAATGAAATAATATATTCTGGAAAACAAAAGAAAACAGGCTCTCAATCAATCAAAGAGAGAACCTTATAAATTATTTTTTGACAGGAACAACACTAAACAAATTATTTTCGCACCAAAGACATGTCACTGGCAAACTTTCAGTAATACCTAAAGAATGGCAAACACAATACTAGAACTCTTGGGAACAAACATAAAGCCATAAAAAGGTACCACCTACACCCCACAAATTAAAAAAACCCATATAAATAATTACCCCAAATACTTTAAAAGACCAGACCACACACACCTTACAATCAATAAAACAATAAATATACATGAATTACAGATAACGCTCAAAACCAAAAAGACAATAGCAGCACTAGATAACATCAGCTGCATCATTCACAACAAAATTCCAATTAAAATGCAAAAAGATATTATTACTTTTCAACTAAATATGGAAACACGCCAAAGTAGCACGACTTTGATTACGTTTACTTTATATCACATTATTTACAAATTATACAGACTGTGATGTGTGATGAGTGGTGGTATTGAGGACATGCTACTGGCTCACTGCATTTTAAAATCATTGGGCATCAGTAATTCTATCTGGGTATTCAAATATCTGTTACCCACTAGTTTTTACACATGTGGGTATTTAAGTTAAATATTTAAAAACACTATTCATCTAGTCCCTGTAAACTGGTGTCGTGTGGGTTCGAGCACTTTAAAGGACTCAAAAATACCACGATACTTCCACAAGAAAGTGTGATCGCAAATGATCATGAGGTTACTGTCATCGTGGAGTTTGGCAAGGTTGATGGAATGACCCTTTATAATTTCAAAATACACAGGGTTACTTCACAATATTGTGATGATACGCACAAGATTTATTTTTGTAGCGTATCTGTAATGTTCGTTGCGCATTTGATACACTTGGATTTTATTTTACTGCGTATTTCTGCATTTCTGAAGCGTATTTTACGCAGATATGCAGCTTATCTGGAGCTCTGAATTATATGTCCATATGTACAAATACCGTGATTGCCAAAATTCCAAATCGGCGGTATGTGTTGACAATGCTTCTGGAAGTTATCTTATCTGGAACGAAAACCTACGATCGTCAGTAGCCTGAGAGCTGTGCCCAAGTCTGGCTCTAACGACATACGTTTGATCCAAGACTGCAGCAGACCTGCTGGAGAAAGTGTCAATGCCTAAGTGAGTACCAATCATGTAACTTATGCTAGTATAGACAAAGTTGTAGAACTGCTCCCTAGAAACGGATATATGGCAAAGATTGACCTTAAAAATGCTTACCGCAGTGTCCCCCTCGATCCAGACCGTTATGATGCTCATGGCTTAATGTTCAAGTTCGAGGCGCATAACGTATATGGTAGATACTAGGCTCACTCTCGGAGCAGCTAAAAGCCCAGAAATATTTCAAAGACTTACGTCTAGTATTACCCGTTTGCTGAATCGTAGGGGGCTTGGCTCTGATCATAGCTGCAACTAAATCTGAGTGCGAAATAGCTACACAGTGCCTAACAAAACTCATTGCAAGTCTTGGGTTTATGATAAACTATGATAGGTACGTGCCCACGTTGTGGTTCAGGGAAATTTGACAGCAAATATCTACATGAATCAACGTCTTCAACCTCACCTTCTTCCGTTCATTGACCAATAGGGGGAGCTGTTTCAACGGGACAATGCTCCACCGCACCCAGCTCGTGTCACGGTAGACTACATTAATAATGCCAACATCAACGTCATGCCCTGGTCGTCGAGATCTCCAGAGCTCAACCAAATCGAACACCTCTGGGATGAGCGTGTTACATGCACTTATCCAGTCAGTGCCGAGGAGATGAAGAGCTATGATTCCTGCCGGGGTAGATCACACAGGAAACTGAGTTCAGAGCAACCTTGTGGCCTTATGTGACATGACAATGAAAAGATTTCAATGCCTTTGTACAACGACAACATGTGACTATCGCACACTAAATTGTCATATTTGTATCTATGATATTAAATTAAATATATCGACTTTATTAGGTACAATATATTTCCCGAAAAATCTACCTTTCACCGAAGTGGTAGACGTCTGAGACCTGCATCACCTTTTCTTTCCTCCCACATTAAGCTGACACGCCGTCATGTAACTGGAATTTGTTAAAAGCGGCGTTCAACCAAACTCACTCACTCACCATTGTCAGCTGTCTGTATATACATGTTTATGGATAGGACGTTATAAGTTGGACAACTTTGGCTAATTCATTTGACCTTTAATGACCAAAAACAACATTTGATATTCGGATCTCACTAATGCTATCACCGTGCATCAAAGCGGCACAACTCCGCAATGCCCTACATGCCATTGTCACTGGGCTGTCATGTGCAGTTGAACTGTACACTGTTGGGTGTTTTCTACTTGTTCACTTACGCTCTTCTTCAACTGCACACTGTTGGGTCTTTTTACTACTTGTTCACTTACACTCTTCTTCAACTATACACTGTGTGGTCTTTTCTACTTGTTCACTTACACTCTTCTTCAACTATACACTGTGTGGTCTTTTCTACTTGTTCACTTACACTCTTCTTCAGCTGTTCACTGTTGGGTCTTTTCTACTTGTTCACTTACACTCTTCTTCAACTGTACACTGTTGGGTCTTTTCTTCTTGTCGCACTTACACTCTTCTTCAACTGTACACTGTGTGGTCTTTTCTACTTGTTCACTTACACTCTTCTTCAACTGTACACTGTTGGGTCTTTTCTACTTGTTCACTTACACTCTTCACCAAATATTCCGACACAAATGTCCATCCTGAAACCATGTGCTTTGAGATTTATTATTCATCACATGCATTGATGCAATCGTGTTGAAACCATATTGCTTAAGGTTAATCATTATTGTTTGTTTGTTTGTTAATTAACCTCAGTGTCCCGTGTGACAAACCAGTGATTGACATCATGAGCATCGATCGACACAGTTGGGATACGATGACATGCATCAACCAAGTAAGCGGACTTGACCACCCGATCCCATTAATTGTCTCTTACGACAAGAATCGTCGCCGCTTACGACAAACATCGGTTGATGAAGACCTTTTCTAACACGGATTTTCACGTGTGAGACTAAGTATTAATCACATGCAGTGATACAATCGTGTTGAAACCATATACTTTAAGATTTGTCATCAATCACATGCAGTGTACTTTAATTGTTTGATATGCATTACTTAGAAGTTGAAATATGACAAAGTAGACACAATTTCTGGATAACAACTTCTTAATAACTGTAAAGATGAAGTTTCGGTATAGATCCCTATACCGTTGTCAAGCACGAGTGAATGCCTGAGTGAGTTGGGTTTAACGCCGCTTTCAACAGTATTCCATTTATATCACAGCGTGTCAGATTTATGTAGGAGGAAAGCCCGAGGTGAGGCCGGTCTCATACGTTTACGAGTTTGGTGCAGCCCACGGGCACGGGTATGGTGCTGACAAACCCTTAAAACATAATCGGGGCAAAACGGGACTCGAACCCACAATCATAGATTTCTGGCGTGTCCAAGTGACGCAACTC